GAAAATATATTTAGAAGCCGGCAAAAATCCATTAACTTTCGCTGATAAATGTCTGTGTGAGAGGTATAAATCTCCTCTGATGGCATAAAATATTTGTGCAAGCTACCCAAGTACCTGCATGTGCGCTACAAGTGTGAAGATCACGTGAATTACTTTAGATTTCTTTTTATTATTTTAGAGTTCCGTTGGAGACCTAAGTAAGAAAACAGTATGCTGGAATATTCGCGAGGATGCTTTGCCCTCAAAAGTCGCCTGAGTGCCTTTGTGTTTCCCAGCCACTTCCCTGTCTGCGATCTAATTCCACTTTCATCGTATGCGTACTGCATATTAATTGACGTGATTTTCAGTCCAGTCTCTGTCTTTTTATGATTCCTCTTTGTAATTGGTAGCAATTGGGGCAGCCTTGGGGGATCATGATTCTGATTACGTGAACAGGAAATCTGTCCATAACATAATACAGAAATAACTAATCCATTTTTCAACATAATGTATTTAGGTAATGTCTCTTCTTAAGCTTGGGTTATGCACTGTTATTTGACGTCACTTTCTAATATTAATACTGTATATATCTTACACAGATGACAAGTAACCATCAGTGCCTTATAACAAGTATTGATTTGAAATTACAAGGCTTTAGGCGTGACTCAAATTTGCAGTGGATCTGTACATGAACCGTGAAATATTTGCCAATGAATTACAACTTTCTAAATGATTGTAAAACGTGCTTTGCAGGACCCCTGCATGGGCTTTGTAGGGGAGAGTGGATTTGCATGCCAGCTATATCTAATGACTCCCAATTCCATTTCTCAACCTGCAGTCTCAGACTCACTTTAGTGTTGCACTGGTAGAAATACAGGCCAGAATAGAAATTACCTTTGGTATACTGAAGGATGATTCAACTGCCTTCATTTATTCAGGGTTTCCCCTGACAGACCATGTGACACCCTGCTTAAAATCAAGCTCTATACTACATTTGTCCCTTACAGTCTCTGCTTCAATATTGAAATCAATGGGAAAAAAACACCGTATGTTATTTATTTATTTATTGTTGTGCTTCTCCATGTTATGTTTCACATTGAGGATTCATATATATTCCTCAAAACCAGTTGCCTCTGCCCTTCTGTTGAGAAAACCGTTCCCTCACTCAGTTTTTAAACTTGTCTACTAGTAAATGCCGCTTTTCATGGCAATGCTGTATAACTAAATACACAAAGCCTGAGCAGATCGAGAGCTTTATTATCCAGTCTCGCGGTACCCATTACCCTAGATTGGTAATGTTTGGTTTTTTCAAGCTGGCTATCCTGAGCAAATTCCAACTTTAAGAAACGTTTTCATAGAATTCCTAATAAGTGCGGTGGGAATTATTAGACGCTCAGCATTGATTGGTCATTTTTGACTATATCACAATATGAGTGGTTTAGAGCATGGGTTAAAAACCACCGATAAATTTAAGGGTCAACCTTTCTTATTTATTAAGTTAATAACAGTATGACCCAAACTTTGACCTAATTTGTTTGAATTCTTTACTATATGTAAATAAAATTCACAAAAATGAACGTTGTAGTGGACATTACTCCTAAAAATCTCTTGTTAAATAAAACTGAAAAATATGTACAAACCCTCTCTTAAGATATAGGATTAAATCAAATGCATCCATTGGGCTGATGAACCTTTTATTTGATCCGATGTTATCCATTGGTTCCTTCTTTTAAATGAGAATTAGGTTGAGTTTAGTCCCAAGAAATCAAAACGACCATATCAACTACAATGTTTTGCTGAATTTTATGCTAATCTGCTGCCGCTATATTTGTCAGCAATCAATTTTAGCTTCTACTCACGTCTCCTGATCGGAATTGCAGGCTACTAATAGTAATAATGAACTATATATGATGCGCAATAGATTCAATTGCTTGAACAACAAAAAGAAAAAGATATTTATGAAAGATATTCCTCAGTATGGTTGGTACAGTGATGTAAAAGTGACAAAATGTCACGTTTGTCATAGGACACTTACAACACAGTGGGGAACTTACATACTTCCTCTAGTTATACATATTTTTGTAAACGTTGAATAAGAATTTAAATTGAAACTGCCAATGTGGCTTGTGGATTAATTCTGAAACAGTCAAAAGATAGGAATTCATTTTAGTCTAACGGACAAATGGGTTATGCGTTGAGTGTATATACTTTTTTCAGTCCAGGTAATTTCTGTGTTAAATGTTAAGAGTGTTCACTGTTTAGTGATATTGTTATAATTACAATATTTTCATGTGTTTTTTTTAATGCCAAAACCAGAGATCTACCCATAAGTTGACCTGAAGTGCTCGTAAAAGAATATCTATATGTATGGGCAGTGCTTTGTGTAAACATAGAATATGTTGTTCGTTGTAGCATATGCAGTGTCATTTGCCGTTTATAAAACAAAGCATATGGATTTCAGTAGGTTAAAATTATTTACTGGGGTACTTTCAAGCATACATTTTTTAAAAATCCAGAGCAATTAGGTTGGTGTCAGGTGTCGGATGTAATTTATCAGCTGACAATGGTGGTATTCAGGGAACAAAACTATGGCACTAAATAAGTGACAGCACCGGTAGCCATTATTAGAATCACATACACTTTAAAATATCATATTTTTTCATTTAACAAAATTGAAAGACTATGGATAAAAAGTGACATGTTTTGACAACTCAAAACCAGATCTATTTATATATATTTATTGGTGTCATATAACAAACCACTGGTCACAATGGACAGGTCAATAATCAAAACATTGCTAGTGGATGGGATTTATTTGTGGGAAATGGGCAACACAGGGCACGCACGTTAATGACGGATCTGGGGATCCGCACACTGACTAAATACACAAAACTCAGAGACGGAAACGCAGAACAGCTGAAAACAATCAGGAATTCACACGAGGTTGATTAGTGGGCGTGGCACACAGGAGGCTCGGACAAGCAGGTCATGACACTCTGGCCTATTTCTAATTTAATATCTATTATTAATTTTGATTAAAAACATAAGAATATATAGAAAAATACCCAGACTTGTATAGTGGAGTTACATCAGTAGTGGAAGCCACAGCAGTTGTTCTGAACTACCTCCATCCATCCATCGTCCTCCACTTATCCAGGTCTGGGTCGTGGGGGCAGAAGTCTGAGCAGAGATGCCCAGACCTCAATCTCACCAGCCAGCTCCTCCAGAGAGATACTCAGACTTTCCAAGCCAGTCGAGAGATATAATCTCTCCAGTGTGTCCTGGGTCTGCCCTGGGGTCTCCTCCCAGTCAGACATGCCCAAGGCACCTCCCCAGGGAGCCGTCCAGGAGGCATCCAGCACACCTCAGCATAATCTTTCAATGAGGAGAAGCGTATTAGTAGAATCTAATCTAATCTGATCTCTATGTGTATGTTATGTAGTGTCCTATGTAGATCATGCCAGGCAAAAAGGGTCTGCTTTGAAAAATTGATCTCTCTTTCTGTGACATGACAATTACAGAAAAAATTCACAGATAGCCTAATCGTAGACCATGGCAAATTTATAGCCACTGTATCTCACTTCTGTAAGGAGTGTGTGTCTGGTAGCACGTCGAAAGACGACAGCCCCTATGAACCAGGAGCCAAAAGTTCAGGTGACAGTTTTGCGTGACAGTTTTGCCACCCCCCCCCCCCCCCCCCCCCCCCCCTCCCCTCCCCTCCACGCTGTACTTTAGCAGTGTCAGGCTGACTCTGGCCAGTAAGGAAGGCTGTTTCCTCCCAGTATACTGCTTGGCAGTTTGTCTCCAGGGAAGTTTTGGCATTACACAGACTGACTGCTTTTCCAGGCTGCATATGTGTGTCCATCGTCTTTGATAGTATTGGCTCGCTTGTCCGGTCGGCGACATGACACAGGTGAGCTCAGTGGCTGTCTTTTGTGTCGACAGAATAGGTGACATTTAGATACAGGATAGGATGTCATTCTTGGGAAGCTGAACACTATCAGTATCAATGGAAATGTGTAGCTCTTCAATATATTTTAACGTATTTTATATAATGCTAGAAAGTGATCAAAAAATGGCTTAAAGTCCTGTGGGGGGGGCTGAGGCAGCTGAAAGGAGATTACAACTTTTATGATTTCACTTTACTGCCTGAAGGTCTAAAATATGTAAGTAGGCAATTTGTGCAGAATCCACTGTCACTAGTGCAATTTCATCCGGGGTTTTCCCCGCAAGATGTCACAAAAAAGGTTGCAAATCATAATCTGTAGCTATATTCGCTGCTGGATTCGTAAGGGTAACTATTTCTCTTGCGGGGGGGAGGGGGACATGTCTGGGTAAGAATGTGTGCTTTCTTGCAGGTGAGCAGGCCAAGGCTGTAGAGTTGTGTAACTTTGCTGAATGGCTTTTTCATGGATGCTCTCAGTCAATGCCATGTCCTTGCATTTACATGAGATTTTGTTTTGGCAACAACAAATGCCCGGGGTACTTTTTCTTCTTTTTGACAGGAAAGATACTTGCGTACCCAAAATAAACATTGGGTCGTTACTGTTAATGATTACTCTGACCAATGTTAATCCCAAAGAGCTGCTTAAGTTCTTATGTTAAGGCACGTTGTCACTGTTCTTACCATATTTATAGCATATACCAGAAAATGTGTTTGCATGAAAGGAGTTAAAGGCAGTTATCCAATAGACTTATCACACATTAAACAAGCAAATGTATATAAGTCTCCCTGTGCTTGGGCTGCAAGCATGTGATCTGAATCTTATGGATTGAGCTAAGATCGTGCTAAAAGTGGACTTGCTGCATGTTCCCAATTATTTAAAAGGTATCTGTACTTCATTCCAATTTGCCTCATCTGAATTTCACCAAAACCTGTGTGTTGTTATATTGATATTCGGCATCTCCTATTGGAGAACTTGAAAGATTACTGACTTAACATTTCCATCTTTTGCCTTGCGTGTTGTGTCTCCAATGTTCCTGATAGATTGTGCATTTCTGACCCAGGCTCTCTCTTCCAGGTCTCTCTCCATGGATATAGACACAGACTATGAGCGGCCAAATGTTGAGACCATAAAGTGTGTGGTGGTGGGAGACAACGCGGTGGGCAAGACACGCTTGATCTGTGCACGCGCCTGCAATGCCACGCTGACCCAGTACCAGCTGCTCGCTACCCATGTGCCCACTGTCTGGGCCATTGATCAATACCGTGTGTGCCAGGAGGTGAGCGAAGGTCTATCTGTGCTTGAACTCAAAACTCAAAAGCCTTAAAGACACCGATTTACTGAGACCCAGCAGGACATCTTAATTGTCACATAGACAGAGTCTCTGATCTACTGTTAAGTGTTACAAATATTTCCCTCCCCCATGAACTAATGTTTGTTTACCTAGGTCCTTGAGCGGTCACGGGATGTGGTGGATGACGTCAGCATCTCACTGCGTCTCTGGGACACCTTCGGAGATCATCACAAAGACAGGCGTTTTGCTTACGGCAGGTCAGAAATGCATAGCGCAAAAGTATATAAATATACATTTCTAACATACAGTGGTTATATTTAAATTAGCTAGATGACGGGGTACCTCCGGCACACAGTTAACATTATAAACACATTAGAGACACAAAAAGGCACAGAAACAGAAGTACCTCCAGAGATTAATAATTTGGTGGCCAAACTGCTTATGGTCTGCCTCATGTATCAGAAAGTGGAATAGTGTTTGTAGTGAGACTGCATCCAGTGATGCTGCTATATCCTTGTACTAACAGGTAGGTGAAAGTTAGGTTAGAATTGATAGCATTCAAGTAAATCAAGATTTTAACATCTTTGAGATGTTTTGATGTGAGACGGCAAAAGTATTCTGTCAGCTGTATGTGATAGGAGAGACTTGGTTATTGTGCTTATGCTTGATGTTTATGATAATATATTTATGATTATGTTAACTATTAATTATGTTGTGTATAGAAAGATCATATTAAGGCTGTCCTTAGGCCTAAGTGTATTCTCATATTACTGTGTTGGCCTGAAGAAAAGACGGGGTCTTGTATTCGGGGTCTAGATAAAAAAGGGAATAAATGGCGCCAAGTACGATATCTTGGTGTTTTGACTTAATATAGATTTACCGTAATATAGATTAACTGTAATATAGATTTGCCATAAGATTTCTTGCGTAAGCGTGAGAGTCAAAAAGCGTGAGTGTCACACCAGATGCATGAGAGTTGGCACCACTGGCAATGCGAGTATTTTGCATGTATCCATGGGTGTCGTGTAAATTGTTGGATTCACTAGGTCTGCCACTGCTAGTATTAACACAAAAATACAACAAAAAATGATGTGGCTGTATTTTGTTTGTGCTGTTTTGCATATTATAATTCAAATTTCACTGTTAATCTCAGTAGAGTGTCAGGGGGGTATTTTTAAGGGTAACGTTATCTGGTCTGTGATTTAGCAGTGCGTGGCATGCAAAAACGATTAGCAAGAAAGTGACAAATTGCGCAACTATGCATTTAAAGGTGGGTGTATGCATAGCTTCTGGTAGATCTGTTGCCTCTCTGCTCCCTTTCTGGAAACTTTGCAAAAAGCCACTTTCCCACTGAAGTTCATGGAACTGGCTCCTGGTGCCAAGTTCCTGGGCCTTCCTGACTGGGAACTTTTGTGGCTCCTGGTGCCAAGTTCCTGGGCCCTTCCTGACTGGGAACTTTTGTGGTTCCTGGTGCCAAGTTCCTGGGAACTTTTGTGGTTCCTGGTGCCAAGTTCCTGGGAACTTTTGTGGCTACTGCTATCAAGTTCC